AGATGGAAGTGAATTTGCACTTAAGTTTCCATAACCACCTCAGATTAAGGAAATGCTTCAATTTAAGGAAAAACAGGCATCCAGCCATCTTTGCAGTACACATTAGGAATACCATTAATACATTAAAAATGAATTAATTTTAATTTAAGATGTTTATCACAAAAAGAACATGTTGTAGACTCAAATATATAACCCCCAGGAGAGAACCAGAAAAAACGCAACACCTGGGTATAAACACTATAAAAATGCAATAACCAATGCTGTACAACTAAGATTGTGTTTCTCTCTGAATTCCTGCCTCGTGTGTTTATCCTGTCCATGCCCGTTTCCAAAGACATGCACTGTCAAACAGAAACTGGGAAGGAACCTGAATGCATGATGTGCAATCTCTAGGTTTCATGCTTTTATAAACTCAAATTGAAGAGAAAAACCCAATATATATTTTCTATACATATACTCAATACATGCATTCGAGATCTCCCACAGCAATGGCATCGATGCACTGCGTTAAACCCTGAGCACTGTATGACAAGATAAAAATAAAGCCTGCTTGGGGATTTTCAAGCGTTTTCAAACAAATCGTGGTTTGTAGCTTAAAAGGCCAAAAGTAAAAGCAAACAGGAAGCACTACAGAGAGCATAAGGAAAGACAGATGCACCACCATAAACAACTGCTGGCTTTCAGTTCTACCAACCTTTTTAGATCTCTTTATTCCCAAAGTATTTGAGAGCACACAACTGAACTGAAAAAGTTATATTTCTTTGGAATCTGTCCCTGATTTTTATGCAAGTGATATGCTTTTACAGCCTTTTCCTCAAAACACCAGAGTCAACACCTGTAGCTTGTCCTCCTCCTATGCGTTGCTGAGGTTGGTGATGCTCTGGGGGTGGTGCTGCTGCCAGATCTGCTGCTGCTGCACCGCGAGCTGCTGCGACTGGTCGGACGTCGACAGGAGGTTCACGAGGGGCGACACACAATTTGCAGGAATGATCAAACCTGGGAACAGCAACGAATCAGTTGTTTCATGAACACTTTGTTCGTTAAAACCTCGGGCTGGTGATTCCACCATGTAACTTATGCAACAGTCAGTGAGCGTTTGCAATGTCAAGTCTAATCAGCACAGCCACAAGTTCTGCTTCTCAGAGGTTCATCCTTTCTCCTGCTTCACGACCTTAAAAATTTTGACCCAGTGACAAAATTTATTCTTATGTCACTCACTCTCACGTGAAACCAGATATAGGCTATTTTGGCTTTTCTAGTCTAACAGAAGTTACACCATCAAGGAAGTTTAAACCTAGTTCCAACATCCTAGAAAACTGTTCCTAGAGGAGGAGCTGCCAGGATATTGCATATCCAGAGGAATCCACATTTAAAAAAATACGGACATTTCGGTTTCTGAGGTCTCTGCTCTGAGGGCTTCACTAAGAGGTTTAGTGAGAAGACAATAATCTTGAAGTCATTCTGCACACTTTCAGTAGTCCAAAAACTATGAAAACAATTATTTCAAGTGCCTACTCATCTCTTTAAAGAGTAGGGAGGAAAGTGGAGCCATTATGATTTCAAGGTAGCTTGGCTGGCAGAGACTAAATATGATGTTTTTGTTCCGAGTAAATCAAAAGAACTGAGAGAATAAGTGTCTCAAAGCCTGGCTGAAAACAAATTCTTCCTTCTTTAACCTGCCTCCAAACACTGTTTGTATTACACTGCTGAAATACAGATGTCAACAGCTGTAGTTCTGCCCCTCCCCAACAGACACCCTGACAAGCCTGTTGTCTCAGAAGCATCTTTTACACAAGTCTGGGACAAAGTGACAACTTCCTTCTCCTCCAAGCTGGCAGTAAAGGAGGAGCAGTGCACTTACCTACGATCCTCTGCCCATCCTCTGTCCTCAGGCGAACAATCTGCATCTTCACATTTGTCCCACTCACAGAGGCCAGAACTCCTTCCACCTTTGTCCACACGCTCAGCACGGAGCCACACAGGACGTAGTAGGTCCGGCAGCGCAGTCCCACCTCACACACCAGTCCCAGACCTGCCTTCTTACAATTGCCTCTCCTACAGACAGAGGGGAAAAAAAGCTTTCAAAACAATTCTGCAAAACAGAAAGTATCCAATTTCATTAAAAATGAGACCTGAAGTTATTTAAGATGTTATTCAGAGTAAGTGAGGGCTGTGAGACACACTAAGGGACAGCAGGGCTCTGAGGGTAAAGTGCTCTTCAAAATGTACAGAGTCAGAGACACTGCCATTCTCAGGTGACCTGAATGATGGTATGTGAAACAACACTGGGATCTGATCAGTGCATTTCAGAAGCTCCAATATCAATCTGAAACTTCTACCAGTTGTGCTGTTCCTCAGGAATGCAGCCATAGCCGAGTTCAGACACACAACAGGCTGCACAGGAACAGCTGTTTCTCCCATCCATCTCATCTCTACACAGAGTATAAACATTTTCCCCCCCAAATAACATCTGAACTATCAGATCACAGCTCAGCTCAAGACACTTTGAGCACAAGCTACTCCTGGGTCATCGCACTTCTACTGAGTAATATATACAAGAGCATTCATCTCATACATTAGGACTTTAGGGTGAGTGCAAAGCTTCATGTTTTCACTTGAAAGTTGGGTCATTTGACTGGTCATGGGACAATTTCTCTTAAGGAAGATTTCACAAGAGTAACAGAAGAAGTGATAAACCAGTTCAAATGAAAGCACTGGTGTGCACACAAACACTGACCAGTAGGCGTGGGTGCAGGTGTCTGCAGAGGAATTGTACTGCTCCAACCAGTGTGGCAGAGCATCCTCAGAGGGTACCTGGAAGAGTGGGAATAAAGGAAAACACGTCAACACTTACACAGAACACAAGCAATTTGTTCATTACTGTGAGAAAAGAGGGAGCACCAACACTATGATGGTGCAGAGGTACAGCATCCTACAGCCTAACTTCAAACTGTCCATCCCAAAGAATGAGCAAAATGCTTTTTCAGTAAATCAACCTGAACTGCTTCCTCAAGTTTTTGCAAATTCAACACTTGCTAGACCCTAGAGAACCTCATTTTGTATTACCACACCACAGATAATTTATATTCAGAAAGTTTTGGATTTAGGAATGCCAAAACCATGTAGACCTGCTTAAAAAGACCTAAATACAAGCCCTGCTCTGGAGAAAGAAGTCTAGTTTTGACTTGCCAGAATTATATAAAAATACCAGAAAAAGAAAGCCCTTATACTTATTTTCAATTTTTTTTTTCCAGTTTAAAACAAGCATAATTTTAGTGGTTACCTTCTTATATTTCTTTTTCAGGTCTGCACATGTTTCTAGTTTGAGTTGTTTCCCAGTATTTGGTCTGTATACTAAAAAAAGCTTCTTTTTAGGATTCACTTCTTTTACTAGAATTGCTGTTTTCTTGTTATTTCTTATCTGCAAAAAGAAAGACAAACCAAAAACTTCCTAAATTTAAACATGATGACAGTGTCTGTCTTAAGTGATTCCATTCTGTGTTCTTTACAGAGTAGTAAGAGTTTGTAATACTACAACCAGGAATAATAATACACCTCTAGAACACAGTGATCCACATTAACCTCCCAGCTTTTCCTCACAGTGAAAGCACCTAGTTTCTTGATACAGGTTTTAAAAGAGCTATTATTTTGGGCTCATATTCCTATCAAAAAATATCCCGAGCAGCTAAAAAGAGCACTTCATACTCATCATTAAAAACAATTTTAAAATGAATTTGTAAGACTCAAAAAGTATCTTGCAAAACTGAGCAGTGATTACTTTGAACAGTAAATTTTTCAGGTTACATTTCCCTGAACATAAACCAAGAGACAGAAGAACCTTACCTGTAGTGATAAATAAAATCCATCATCTGGACCTGTCTGTTCAGCCCAGAGCTTTGTTGCTTCATCCCAAGACATTCCTCTCTCCACACTGATCTACAAGAGAGTGGGAGTACTTGAGTGGGAACAGACTTTAAAACAGTTATACACATAGGAACTAAACATGTTGTAAAAGCTTTTAGTATGTCAGTTTTGATAAAGATGATACAGAATTAGCTTACTGTGTACAGCTCTACATGTCCAGAGGTAGAATATCCAGGAGTTAAAAACTTCTTAACATCTGCCTTCCTTACCTTCTCATCCCCGGAGCCCAAATCTGAAAAGGAAAGCACAGTTTTCTTCTGTTTCTCTGTTCTCACACAAGTACAAGAGTACTGACAAATTATTTACTCACCCAAGATGCCCATGTCATATCTCCCATTCTTTTTAGCATTTTGAATAACTGCATTTAACGTGTCAGAGAAGTACTGGAACAAAGCGTTCTGCTGATGGACTTCCATTCCAAGAATTCGATTCAGAAACTTCCCTATATTGTTATAATCTTAAAAAAAAAAGAAATACATGTTTTAGGTCAACAAAGATTAAGTTTGATAATAACAAGCTCTTAATCACTACTTAAAGAGTCTCAAAGACTATTTAAATCCATTCTTTCAGAAGCGGAGAAAACATTACGGTTTTCAAAAGAGTAACTTCTTAGATAGTTGAAGATAGAATAAGTTCAGTCCTGTTGCTAGGAATCCACTGTCATGGCATATGATATTCCCAGCAGCATCCCAAAGATACGCTGAACACACCAGTACCTTTATCAAGTGTCAGTATTCCAGATCTGTCTTCTACATTTATCAAGCCCACGCCGATCAATCCCTGACGAACATCTAGGAAAGAGAAGGAAGTTCAATCAGAGCTGCTTTGCCATCTAAAAATAACCCAATGAAGTAACAGCTTGTTTAGCAATGGGATCCAATTCCAAAACTGTGACACCCCTCGATTCCATTACTTACAATTTCTACCATATACATCAATAAGCAAGACAGGACTTTGCCTTCTGTCCCTCCAGGAAGCAGAGGCAGTGAAAACCACCAGTGGCACCATGGATGAGAACAAGATATCACAATGGATAATGGGAAAGTGTAGTTAAAGAACTGTATATAA